CCGATATATCGTGCATCCCTAGTATTTTTCTAACCTCACCAATCTGGCGACCACAGTCAGACGTGGGTATTTGCGTATTTGTATCAGTGGTGCAGACATTGGAGGAGCACAAACAAAATAACACAATAAAACAACTTGATTTTTGTTTAATAACAAAAAACAACAAAAACAACCAAACAACAATCTGTTGATTCTAAACCGAATCCAAAAAACCAAACAGAAGACACTCAGATTGTTTCTTGTTTCCTGTTTTCTGTCCAGCATGTGGACAGCGAGAAGCTCCACCCCCATCACACTCTGAGGAACATCATGTTTCTGGTTTCCCCTGACAACAACAACCTGGGAAGGTGAGATCCTCCACCAATCAGAGAGCTGCTGATGTTTATATGTTTTTATCTGACATCCGTCTCTCTGGTTCTGATTCAGGACCGGTCCATTCGAGGTGAGCGCCGACCTGGAAGAGTCGATGGAGTTTGTGGAGCCGGAGGCGGCAGGGCCGGCCGAGGAGAGTGGAGACGAAGCGGTGACGGATGAGGAGACAGACCTGGGGACGAGACGGTTGCCCCCAGTTCACCGATTCCTGTGACATCCCCATCACAGGTATGACAGGCCTGGTACGAACCAGTTCAGCTGCACTAAGGACTAAAACAAACAGCCCACCAGACTCCATTCAGAAAACCAGTGATTTTACCTCTCAGATAACTAACATGTCAAACTGATCAGAAACACAATAAAACTCATTAAAAGTTTGGAATGGAAACAAAAAGAGGCTGCGATACAACACAGGCAGAGGGAGTGAGACACCATGTGACTCTGTATCTATATATAGAGAATATAATGTTTAATATCTCATATATGAGCTTTAAAGGTCAATATACTGAAAGTGTAAATAAAAATTGTCAGAAGAACGTGTTTCAGTTTGTCATTTGAATGTTTTAATGTGACTGAGGCCACAGTGTTTAAATAACTAATATATAGCTCTTTCTGTCCTACAGTCCATGGATCTTTCCCAGAGTGCATTGCAGGTTTCACAGCCCGCTGCTAACACTGGGGGGATGATCTCATCCGCTGCCGCCTCAGTCACTTCCTGGTTCAGAGCGTACACTGGCCAGCGCTGATTCACCCGTACCAGAACCTGTCCAGACCGGACTGGTGCAGATCTGGAACTCCTGGAGGTCTCAGACTTTTGGTCTGGCTTTGGCATCAAAGGTCAAAGGTCAGGCAGGCAGGTCAGAGGTCAGCAGGTCCAAATGCCTGGAGCTGCTAAAGAGCCAATCACAGATTATTAAGATCAGGTACTCCAGGGTCCAGGTACAGTTTGGTTCAGGTTCACTAGGCCACTTGTTGAGAACTTTATTTGAACTTGAATGTTATCAGCTTATTAACATGTAATTAATGGGTTATAATGACCATAATGTGTTAATTCCTGTTTATGACTATAAGGATTGTGGTATCAGATCAAACTCTGTATTGAATTCAACAGTGATAGATCAATTCTAAACATTATATATATATATATACATATATATCAGCAGATCATCATAAAACACATCTGTAATGGTTCCCACCAAACGTGAATATATTCCCTTTATTCTGTGTCACTGCAGGAGTTTGAGCCCACAATAATTTGATGTTTCTGTGATTTAATGTTAATAAACGGATTAATATGATGTTGAAATAACGACATCATGATGATTGATTTCTAAAGTCTGAATTCAGACTGTCGGTCTGTCTGTAAGATGACGAGCAAACTGCTTTTAAAATGCCTGTTTTCTGAATGCAGTTTGGTTGATCAGGGCTACGCTAACTTAACCTTGGTGGCTCTCAGCAGACAGGTTGGGAAAAGAGAGAGAAGATAAATCCACTTTTTAATCCCAAAAGTTTCAGTAATAAACATTGTGAATGTGAATGACTGTTTATGGGCTCTCTCCTGCAGAGCTCCCCGGGCTCCAGCAGCTGTCTGTGGGCAGCAGCAGCAGCTCTGTCTCTCCCTCCTCCTCACAGACTGTAAACACCCCGACATACGATACGACCACCTCAAATGTGTACATTTTACACTCCCACAAATACGTGAATGAGGTTTTATGCGTGTTCGTCATTCACATCCGCTGCCGTGAATTCGTGTCCATTCACGTCTTTGATTTTGTATGGAATCTACTTGCATAAATAATTATATTAATCACGTTTGATGGGAATAATAAACAATATAAAATAATAATAACGTGCATAATAATATAAAATCTGTCTTTATAGGAGAAATTATAATTATAGAACATTAATATCAGTTTATAACACTTTATAATCTGTTATAAACTATTTATTACATGTTTATATGAAAAGAGCAAAGAATCATCTTTCACTACCTGTCGACCTGCCAGCCTGTCTGTCTGCCTATCTGTCTGTCCGTCTGTCTCACCACAAAGGGAAAGTTTCTGTTTTTATTTTCTCTTTTTGTTTGTTTTTTCTTCGTTTGTGAAACAAAGACAACAAACGGACTTCCTGCTGTGATTACAGCAGTGCTAACAAACTCACAGCGGTTGCCATGGCAATAACGAACCCTGTTTATACACACACCACACACACACACACACACACAGCGGACTGAATGTGGTTCAGGTTGATGGTTTACCTGTCCTACAGGTGAGTGTCAGCCTGATGGAGAGAACTGGTTCTACACTGATGTGTTTAAAGGACGTGTGACATTTTCTGTTTCCATGAAAAGATTGAAATGAAATAAAATCCTGTTTTCTGGTTTTCAATGTTTGTTTCTGAATACTTTTAAATATATAATCAGTTCTGCTGATTAAACCAGTGCCCCATTTACTCATGTACTGTACTCAATTACACATTTATACGTTTATAGAATCTGGTGTTTTGTGTTAAATTGAAGGAAGAACAGCACAGCGCAGTTCTGGAGAAGAAATATGTACCATATTTCATCGTATATAGGTTGTTTCCACACAGAGTCACATTTGAAGGCCCAGTGTATAACATCAATGGATTATTAGAATAATTGCATTTTTTTGAAGAAAATACCACTGCTTGCAGGAACAGTGTCTCAAAGAGTTCCAGCAAGAAGTTTGTTATCCACATCTGAAGATACCACCCAGAATTGGTTGTAGTTAAATATTGATTAGAAGAGATACAGGCTGAAGATATTTTTTTATATATTGATAATATTATTATTATATATATTAATATTTATAGGTATGTTTTCATTAGTGTATACTCTACAGAGGGAGCGGGTCCTCTTCACAGAGTCCGCCATGTCAAACCACCATGTTTCTACAGTACCTCAGAACAGTGGATCTAGATAGAGACTTTGAGGGCCATCGTAGTTTCTCCTACACACTCAAAGTCCGTTCTCGTTCCCAGGTTGTCGGATACAGACACCTGTGGAGTTCAGTTAGTGGCAATCTGCAACTTCACCCCTAGATGTTACTGATTTCCTCACACTGGAGCTTTAAGTGGTGTAACAAACAAACAGTGGCTGTGCATGTGAGTGTGCATGTGACAGTTTAGTGTACAGATCCTCTGAGCTGTGAGCTCTTTGTGTGTGAGCTGCAGATTAGTGTGTTAGCTATGTTTGGTATGCAGCGCTGCAGAGAAACTGATCCCGCTGAGGGACCCCGAACTGGAGTCAAGATCAGTTTATTACTGAAGAACTCCAACAGATTGAAAAATTTTAAGATTCAAAAGGTCAGAAGATTAAAAGAAGTCAAACTAATAAAAATGACATTGCAGCTCAAGAAATCAAAAAACAGTTTAACTTCATAAAATTACAAACAGAATGTTGAAGATCTAAAGATCTGAATTAAATTAACAGTCGCTGTAGGTACCAGATCTGCTAGTGGTCCTGAGTTCACAGATTATGTAACATATTAACATGTTAGGATTGGCTATATATCAGAAAGTGCAAATGAAGCTCTCAACACACTGTGAATCTGTCGTCCTGGTTGTCTCCATGTTGGTGTTGAGCAGCCAGCAGAGGTGACTTACTGTGAGTTGAGCTGCTCTCATTGGCTGCTCTTGGTTTGAACTCATCTGTAACAGGAAAAAATGGCGGCTCGCCTTATATGTTTTTTATTGAGTCTGTTTGCTGTGGAGGCCTCCCTCTGTCTATATTAATGATCAGCTATACATACAGTCAGCTAGACTGAACTAAACCAAACCTCAATTTGGGGCTTTTTCTCTTTATTAGATGGTGAACATAGACAGGAAAGGGGGTAGAGAAAGAGGGGATGACACGCAACAAAGGCCCACAGGTCGGACTTCAACCCATGCAAGGATTTAGGTGCCCCAGTAATATCATTGTTACTATTATGAATCAAAGAGAAAATACAGACCTTTGCCCTGTATCCACAGCACTGACGTACCACTCTAAATTATAATTATTGTTGAACTATTTTCGGTAGAATTGTATAAAATGTTACACACACGTGCAATGTGGCCTAACCTGTGCCCTGAATCTACAGCCTGCGCTTAATGTAACGAATAATATCATTATCGTTACTATTATTTGAATCAACTAAACATTACAGACCCCTGAACGTTATCTATAGCACTGACCTATGGCTCTATATGGTTCTATTTGGCTCTACATGGCTATATATCACTGTGTATTTGTATTTGATTAGTGTTCCTGAAGGAAAAAAAATGTCTGTGAGTGGACTCAATCATCCTGCTGAAGATTAGTGTGTGTGTGTGTGTG